ATTTCAGATGCCTCAGTCCATAGATGGCCAGTTTCATTGCTTTGGTGAGGCAGAACATCAAGGCAGAAGGCGCATGATGGAAGAAAGCAGCTCAGGACCAGGCCACCAGCAAGCAGAGAGAGACTAAGCTCAGCTCATCAGGGACAAAATATATACCAGAAAGGCACACCCTCCAGTGACTCACCTCTCCCAGCCATACCCTACAGGCTTACAGTTATCACCCCATTAATCCATTCAAGTGGATTCATGTGCTGATTAGGTTAAGGCCCTTCTAACCCAATTGTTCCACCTCTAAACTTTTTGTTGTTGTTCCAGAAACAAGTTGAATGTTTTGCTTATTCCATTGCCAAACATTTTTCTTTTAAAAATGTTACATGAATCCACCTCTAAACTTTATTGCATCATCTAATACATGAGCTTTTGAGGACACTTTATATCTAAATCATAACAAGAACACTTGGAACAAAGTGCTACTACAGGCTTGCAAAACATTGAGACACAGAATGGCTTCAGACTGACCACTGGGGAGCTAGAAACTAACAGACACATTCCTTCAAAGTTCTCTGGGAAAATTGTCTCAACCAAATTCTACAACCAAACTGTTCTGGATATCTTTTGTGTCACAAAATATTACGAATTTTAGTGGTTCAAAACAATAACCATTTTCATTATATCCCATAATTTTGAGGGTCAGGAATTCAGGCAGAACTCAGCTAGCCAGTGCTTCCTGTCCATATGACATTGACCATGGTTTCTCCTTGGGATTCACATAATGGCCAGGATGAGCTGGGAGATCCAAGATGGCTTCCCTCACATGACTGGTGCCTGGGAAGGGGCAACTAAAAGGTTTAAGACCCTACTTTTTTAGCATTTTTAGGCTTATAGAAAAATTGAGCAGAAAGTACAAAGAGTTTCCACATACCTCTGCGCCTTCTCCCTAAATTCCCCTATTATTAACATCTTGTATTAATGTGGTACATTTGTTAGAAATGAAGAGCCAATACTGATTCAGATTAGCATTTCCTTAAAAAATCCACTGTGCTCCATCTATTCATTTTTCCTCCTCCCACCCAAATTCCTGGTAACCACTAATCTTTTTTACCTTCTCCATAATTTTGCATTTTCCAGAATGTCATAAATAGACAGTCCCTGACCTACTATGGTTCATCTTGTGAATTTCTTCAACTTTATAATGGTACCAAAGTGATATGCATTTAAAAGAAAAATGCACTTTGAATTTTGATCTTTTCCCAGGCTGGTGATATGTGATTTGATGCTCTTTTGTGAAGGTGAGCAGCAGTAATGAGCTGTGGCTCCCAATGAGCCACACAGTCACAAGAAAAAACAACCAATACTCTATCATGTGCTGTGTGGCTAAGCTGTGATACTTGGTAGGTTCAGTATATTAAATGCATTTTTTGACTTACGATATTTTCAACTTTAAATGGGTTTGCTGGGACATGTTTTCATTGTACATCAAAGAGCATCTGTAGTTGGAATCACAAAGTATGCAGTATTTTCAGGTTGACTTTTTTCAATTAAAATATGTATTTAAAGTTATTCTTCATCTTTTCATTGCTTGACAACTCATTTCTTTGGATCCCTGAGTATCCCACTGTATGGATACACTATAGTTTGTTATCTGTTCACCTACCAAAGGACATCTTGGTTGCTTCCAAGGTGGGATCTTCTTATAGCCCCTCTAGCAGGGCAGTCAGACTTTTTATATGGCAGTTCAGAGCTCCACAAGGCAAAAGTTGCCAGGAATTTTAAAAGCCAGAATCAGCAGAGTGCCACTCTATTAGTTGAAGAAGCCAACACAGCCTACATTCAAAGGTAGAGGTGTTGAGGCTAATGCGACCATCTTCATGCTGCCACATAAAATCAGATGGCCAAATTCCAAATTCCAATGGCCCTGGAGGCTAATTTCCTTCACCTTTGGGGTAGCTTGGCAAGAAGCTGATCCATCATGGGGCTGGAATTGATCCTCAGCACCACCTAAAAATAAAAGCATTGTGTTGTGTCCATCTACACCTAAAAAATAAATATTAAAAAAAAAGCTGATCCATCATGTATGAGGCACCCCCATTTTCACAAAGCAATGGCCTGTATAGGAAATTTATTATTGTGTGGTGATGGTTGTTATTATCACCATTGTCATCAACGTCACCATCAGAGTGACTTAGAAATACTTCAACCCTTTTTTCCTGAATAATATGTAGAGTGCCAAAGAGTGAGGTTCTTGTCTCAGAGGTGTCGAGTTCATCTGTGTCCTAAGACACCTTTGGATAGGATGAGAGTTCAGGGAAGAGGTAAACTCTGATACTTCTTCACTTCAAGTTTTTTCTCACCAAATCCCATTAATCCTACCAACATTTATATTACAGTGTGAGCTATGTTTCCAGATCCACCTTACACCTCACCAGCAAGCAAGTCAATGAATAAAAGCATTTCCAGATATACAAGTGCTAAAAAAAAAAAAAAAAAAATGAAACTACTTTCCATCCACCTCTCAGAGTTATATAAAAGTGTTCTCCATCCAAAATAAGAAAAGTATAGCCTTCCAGGAAATCAAATGTCTAACAACCCAGTAGGATAGAGAAGGGAGCTCTCAGGCTACCCACTGTGCACCAGGGTGAAGACAACAAGCCCAAACTAAAGCAAACTGACAGGCTCTAGGAGACATTTCCACAAGATGACAAAATTAATAAACAATCTGACATACAGGGCATATCAAAAGGAGATGAATATGCACTACAAACAACTGTAAAAGATTTGAGGATGAATTAATGATAAATACAAAAAAAATCATGCAAAAAGAATTTAAAAAGACCAAAAATTTAGTTTTTAAAGTATGTTACTTAAAGATAAAAAGAAAAATCCCCCCACCCCCACAATATCAAAAGACTCAGCCAATTAAGGTTAAAATTGGTTGCCTCTGGGAAATGGGAAAGAGGCAAAAGTATGATATTGCTGTTTATTATTGCAAGTCTTAACCATTCAAATGGTTTGGCTCTATGAGGCTCATCTTTATCCTAATTCACCTTTCAATGAGACTTCCTGTGGCCACTCTAATCCTAATCTCCTTTCCCCCTTTTTAAAAATAGAATTTATTACTTTTTATTTTTTTACTTTTTTTCTAGAATATAGTTTAGTTATTTATAATATTTAGTGCTTTTGATGTGCCTTTTGCTACTGGAATGTCAACAACACAGAGGCAGGAATCTTTGTCTTTTTCACTTGCCAATATAACCCAATTTTCTACAATAAACAGTGCCTGGACCATACAATATGCTCAACAAACATTCTCCTAAACTTTATTTTTAAAGCTCTGTGCATGGGTAGCTTGGATGATGATAATGATAATGATAATAATAAAATGTATCATTCACTTCAAAAGTCTATCACAAAGCAAAAATTTTGTACTTAAAATATTGCTCAGACATCTTAGTCTTCTACTTAGAAGTGTTATCATTAGTTTTCTCAGACTTCAAGAAGAATTCTACTACCAATGCATTCCAAATGCCCAAACATGGTACATTCTTACCTTTCTGAAGTATTTGAGACAGTTGCCAAGCATTGTAATACAATTATTAAGATTTTCATAAAACATAAAATAGAGGGTAATTTTACATAAGGTTGTGAGATATGGGCTTATCAGAATGAAGAAAAGATATATTTGAAGAGTAATGGAATATTTATAAGTTGAATTATTATTCATTAGTTTATACTTGATCTTGTTTCAAAAAGAATTTTAGGAAATCTATAAAAGTATAGACAACATAACATTAAATTACATTTAAATTAAAAGCTTGGCAAAAGAAATTAGAAAATCAAAGATGAGGCAAAGGAAAGCCAAGAAAATTGCTTAAAATATGTATAATTATAGCCTGATACTCTCGTCAAATTTGGCTCTAGCTCTGTGCTCATTAATATTAGATTCAACTATAAGTAAAACAGATTCAACAGATGGGTGGTATAAATAAAATAGTACATGAATTTATTTTTCTTACACAGAAAAGTACAGAGATATGCAGTATAGAACTAGTATAGGAGCTTAACTCCACCGACTCCCCAGGGATCCAGGCTTCTTTCCACTGATCTCTACTTTCCCAGTGTGGACCTTTTCCCCATAGTCCAAGATTGCAGCATTCTTATTCCAGGATGGAGAAAGAGGTCAAAGAAAGAGCAAGAGTTACCTTCCAATTGTGTTCTAAGAAGTGTTCCAGAAACTGCCACTGGATATTTCTAATTCCATTGCATCATTCAGAATTTGGTGACATGGCTGCTCCTATCTGCAAGGGAAGCTGGGGAATGCAGTCGACACTCTGAGCTAATGTGGGTCCTGCCTCTATTGCAATGCACAAAGGGGAGAATGGATCTGGACACAGGAGTTTGCCATAGCTTCAGAGCAACCAGAGGAAGAAAGAAAATATGGTCAGGTTCAAAACAAAAGAATTCATAAAGATGAATTATTCCTCGAAAAAATTATTGCACTTGTTGGTAAAAAGATTAGAAAGGGATTATTCCAAAGGTTCATACAAAAGAAGTTTGATATCTCTAGCAGTACTCTTACCATATCAATGGCACTCATTTCATTGAATTGCTTCTCATAACTCCCAATAAGATATTTGCAGTTTAGAAAAAAAAATCAGTGAAATTTCGATCTTCTGAGTTCATTTTCACCATATTTTTAAAAATCATGTCAAAAATAGGTTTCTTTGCTGGGCACAGTGGCACATGCCTGTAATTCCAGCAGCTCCAGAGGTGGAGGCAGGAAGATCACCAGTTCAAAGCCAGCTTCAGCAATGGTGAGGCTCTAAGGAACTCAGTGAAACCCCGTCTCTCATAAAATACAAAATAGGGCTAGGGATGTGGCTCAGTGGTTGAGTGCCCTTGAGTTCAATCCCAGATACCAAAAAACAATAATAATAAGTTTCTTTGAACTTCACCATTAAATGTCCTGACAGTAAGTACATAAATACATATATTTGTTTCAGAATTGAAGAAAAATCTATTTACCTTCGTTTACGGAGAAGAAACCACTGTAACCACAGGGACTACCAGAATATTTCAAGAAATGGTATGTAACTTTCCACGTAAGCCTTCAACAAAGTGCTATAATCATTGGTTTTACTTTGTAGGTGCCACAAAGAATTAGATAAGGATAAAATGAACAGTCTCCCTTCCAACTCTATCGCCCTTTCTGAGCAAAGTTCTCTGGGCTAACAGCCATCTATCTACAGCAAAGGAGGACAAGCACAAGATGCAGTCAAGAAGGCAGTTCAGTCAATTTAACAGCAAAGTTCTACAAAGGCCAAGGTATAGGATATTCCAAGCTCAGCTGGCAAGACCTAAATAAGCATTAGCAAGACAAAGGCTGAGCAAAGTCAAGGTCATTGCAAAAGCTCTACTTTCAAAATGGTGCAAGTCCCCCAGGTCTCTGCCAAGGTAGGAATTTTAAGTTTTACTGTTGTAGGTTTCCACCTCTCACCTTGGACCTAGAGGTGGTCTATTGCTACAAGAACTTGATGAAACTCCTGTTTGACAAACTAGAGCCTGGCTAATGCTTAATGAATTGCCATGTAATGTTTTGTGACACCAGAACACAGATATGGCAAACAGTGTGTGCAGTGCTACTCGATCTTGCTGAGCCTGGGGAACACACTACTAATCAACCTTGGCACTTGGGCCTGCTACACCCAGAGTCTGCCTAAGCAGGTCTCACAACGCAGCATGTCTGACAATCATCATCAACAGATTAGAGTTGGCACATGAAGTTAAACCTATTTGCCATCCCTGTGCCATCTCTAATTAACTTAAGATGTGGAGGAATTTTCCAAGCCACATGAGTTTTAACTAAATACGCTGCCTACAACTAATGTATTTCCTAAAATAAATATTCTCCTCCAAATAAGTGTTCTACCATTCTAAGAATAACAGATTTAAAAAAAAAAAAAACTAATAAATAATAGCTGCCATTTACTGAGCCCCTACCAAGTGCTGAGAACATTTTATGTATAATTCAGTTAATCCTTTCCATTGCAAACACAGTCAGACAAGTAGTATTATATTTCCTCAGTGCTAAGACACCATTGATTGTTAGAGTACTGGGGAGTGTTGAGCCAGGGAAAAGGGAAGGAAAAATTGCAATGTTCACATTGATTGCAGAACTCAACCCAATGATTGAGTGTGTTAAAATTTATTTCTAAGAATGGAGGAATTATAAGGCTATTCACACTGTTGCCTCTGAGGAAATGGAGACACAGATAGGTGGAGAATCTTGTGCCAGGTCACAGAGATAGTAAGTTACAGGACTGGATCTTCTACCCTGGTTGTCTAACTCGACTCAGACACCAACAAAGATAATCAACCATTAGTCTATGACCTGAGATGATCTTTAAAAAGAAGTCGACCTTAACCTCTCTAGCCGATCATTTCTGGGCAGTACCATCGATCCTAGCTGTGAATCATTACAGGTATGAGCCCCGGCAGCAGTACTTTCTCTTTTCCTTTAGTAAGAAATTCAAAAGCCTCAATGCTGTCAAACACTGTCTTTCAATGCAGACTAAAAAACAAAGAAGTAAAAGCTCATCTGTGTGGAATATTATGCAACTCTAGAAATGATGGCTAACAGTCTATTTTTTTATTTAGAAGAATAAAACTTTGCCAAAATATAAAACTGGATATTATACTTCAATTTCTACCACATAAAAAACAGCTGTATCTAAGAAGAAAGATTGGTAGAAAATATACCAATATCATCCATTATGTTTAATAAATATAGGTGATTACTACCCCCTCCCAACTTTTCTGTTTCCAAAAGGTTTCATTTATTTGTAGCAATAACCTGTTTAAACTTCTAGAAAATAAATTGAGTCTGGAAATAGTAATGGACTTTCGCAGGGTAACAAGCTGGGTAGTGTAGAATACTGAGACAGAAGATTCTATGAGAAATGCAAACTAGAGGTTGTTCTCTCTCCACGCGGCTTCCATGCCCACATTTCTCTTTGCTGAGACCCAGACATGTCAACATCACTTTCCTACCCATAATGAATACAGTAGCCTTTTATAAAATCATAAAGACCACAATAAGGTACTCCAAAAGGTTCCCTGGACAATTGATAGTGGAGGGTTCTCCTTGTGTGACCTGTCATAACTGACAACATTCCTTTAAAATTCTATTGGATGATACAGGGAGAGAAAAGGGAAATGGGAGGAGGATCTCATGGTGAAAACATGTCAAAAATGTGATGGATACCTGTGTGTTCTGCCAGACTTCATCTAATGAATAGATACAGGGGAGGAAGGGATATTTCTTTCCTTTTCTTTGAATTTGCAACCTTAAGAAATGTATAAAAATGTGCACCTTGTCTAGTATTACTTCTTTGAAGATGCTTCTTGACTTTTTTTTCTAAGAATGTAATTCTAAAAGGATTCTTTTTATTTATTTATTTTTTTTTAGATTCTCGTAGTTACTCATTATTTGATGCCCTGGTTTCACTCTCCAGCCCCTCTTCCTATTTTCTGTTGCTTTTCCTTGCTCTGGATTTTCTTTTGATATTATGCAGCACGTAACCTGACTACCCACGCCAAGTTATTTCAATTACTCCCCAAGGTTTTTATTAGATATAGGAAAAATCAGCTTTCCACGTTCTGCATATTTATGGTGCTGCACTGATTTTTTAGAACCAGCCAGAGAGAAAGGGAAGAAAGAGTTGAATGGAATATTAAAGCGTTTCTTAAAAATTGTATAGTAAGAATTAAAGGAAACAGCTCCTATTTTCTTCTTGACCTTTATATAAGAGATCTCAAATTTTTCTATAGCAACCTCTCTGTTATAGAGCATTTTAAACTGTAAAATGTGGAAGTCATCTTTAATTCAGGGAATAATTTCCTGGCATGGAGGTTAAGAATGATCAGGTTCCTGCCAAGTTATCTTTATGATCAGCAAAGGACATGGTTGGCAGTGGCTCTTACAGCTTCCAACAAGATGAAATAGCCCAGGGAAGGAGGCAGCCAGTGCACTGAAGGGGAAAAGGGTCAAAATGCTGTGGAGTTGGCTGGCTCCCCACAGAACACCCCCTTACCACCCAGAGATGGAACGTGAGGTCTAGAGAACAGAAAGCAAAGGTTTCCCTCTCCTATTGCCTCATAAAATCTTCTTTCTTTAAAGTGCAAAATAGTAAAGGTTTTGAATTTTGGCCCTGGAATGGGTGTGTGTCTTTGGTCAGGCACTTAATCTTTCTGATCCTGGTTCAGTAAGCACAGTTTCCAAAGACCACCTGGATCTTACTGTGGGTTGGCTAGATGACAAGCCAGCTTGAGAGGGCCCTCCTTCAACTTGGCCTTCTCAAGGGGAAGAGAAAGGTTACACCCAAAATGAGTTAGGGGAATGGAAGGGACGGTTGCCTTCTCTTTTGCAGTCCTACTCTGTTAAACCCAGTTTCTTAAACTATGGCACATGATATTGTAACTGCATCATAAAACCAGGTGCATGATAGACCTAGAAGGGGCCACCACACACAACAAGGATAATGACAATATATACCCCAACAGCACAGGGCTGCTGTAGGTTGAGTGAGAAGCCACAGGGCTTCCTAAAGCTGGAGTGCCACTGAAATGATTGCTGCAAGCTCCCTCTTACTACCTGTACTTTCATTTATTCATTATTTTCTAAATCAGTCATTTTTTCTATATTAATAATTTTTCAAAGAAACAAAATAAGAATGAATTTTAAAAACACAGGAATAGGGGCTGGTGTTGTGACTCAGGGAGAGTGCACTCTCCTAGCATGTGTAAGGTGCTGGGTTCCATCCTCAGCACCACATAAAAATAAATTAATTGATTAAAGATATTGTGTCCAACTACAACTAAATATATATATATTTAAAACACGCACACACACACACACAGGAATAGTAGGAAGAGGCACAGCTCCCCATTCTTGAGGGCAGCAGAAGGATGTCAAGAGTTGGACATCCAGGCCCCTGGGGACAATGGCAAGCAGGAAGGTAACCAGGATGAGTGAGGTACCTGATGGACTTGGAGTATCTTTCAAGAAGGGGCTCCCTCTGAGAGGAAAAGTCTGGGCAGGGATAGGAGTGAGAAGCTAAGGAAATTGGCGATAGCAGTTCTGAGACTGATGGGAAAGCTGGGACAAAGGACAGAGGAGGGAGCCCTGGGTAGTGGAATGTGGCTTCAGCCTACAAAGGCATTTAGGACTCTGCTGGAGGAGCTGAAGGAACCAAAAGGAAGGGCAGGGTTAAGGAGGAAAGGAGTAAATGCTGAATCCCTGATGGTAAAGGAGCTGAGGAAAGGAAGAGGCTGGAGGGAACCTTGGCTGGTTGAACTGGGAGTTCTGGACTGTACTGGGGTCCAAGGGTAGAGGAAAAGCAGATAAGAGTCTTCATCTTCTCTCCAGCAAAGATGTTCACCCCTCAGAGACCAGACCACAAAAGAGGCAGTGCCAGAGAGTATCCAGCCCACCTAGGAGGCTGTCAGGGCAAACATGAGCCCTAAGCCATCTCTCATACCTGAGCAATATGTTCTGCTCTTTGGGACCTGGGCATTATTCTTGAGCCTCTTGCTCGGTGAGGACTCGGTAAATATGAGCTCTTATTTTGCCTTCCTTGTCCTTGCCTGGTTTAATGCTCCCTCATTCCCAAACTCACAGGGCCAACTGCTCCATTCAGACCCTATGTTCATGCCTATGTTCTTGCATTTTCTTGAACCTGTGGTTGAGTTATTTGCTTTAAGACCGGCTTCTCAGTTGAACAGGGAACAGGAGCCACATGGGGCTGACATTTGTATTTATAGCCCTGAGCTCAAAATCTGATGCACATAATAGGGTCACACACCTTCTTAACCTGAATGTTTCTCAGTAGTTACATTTAACCTATGCAGAGACAAAACCCACAACTGGCAGGATTATGCTTCATTTAAAATAAAGGGTAGGAATGACTATGAGATATCCACTTGATCCTGTTAGGATGCCGTTATCAAAAAACAAAAGACGAGTGTTGCTGAGGATGTGGAGAAATGTACCCTCATGCATTGTTGGTAGGAATGTAAAATGTATCT